TGCATTTAAAAGAAAAAAAAAAAAAAAAAAGACAGCACCTCATTGACTTGTTTGTATTCTTTGTATTTTTCAAATAGCATCTGAACCTATTTATTTGAAAAACTTAAAAAGGCGGTCACAATTTTTTGAACAAGGTAAACCAAAGTGCTAACATTTCATGTACTTCCATGAAATTGTTCCTGCTGCACACTCTTTCTAACAAGTCTGGTGCTGGGTACTATACCTCTTCAGAGTTGTTTGTTGCAGTTACAAGGAAGCAACATAATTAATTTCCCTTCTTTCCCCAGGGTCATCAGGTTATTCTTACAATTCATGGGTCTACCTTTGTGGTAATGGGTCTTTGTGTGTTCTCTTATATCTATAGCTGTTTAAATCTCTTCTATGTTGTTCATACTTTTTTTTTTTCACTGGGTAGGAGTAAGAAGGATAGTGCACTCTGTTCAGGTTTGCTACTACCTACAAAACAAGAATAATGTTGAATATTCCAGCAGAGGCTTAGTGCAAATCTCAGAGCTGCTGATAAAATACTTAACTCTGGATTTGAGTTTGTCTTTAGTTGCAGCTCTGTGCTTTCATCTAAATTGGTGAAAAAAGGCAGCTGCTGGTTTTCCACTATGTGGTGATGTCGCAAGAACCCAAGATGACCAATGTAAATTTTGAATTGAATATGTTAGCTTTTAAAGGCAAAAAATAAGGCACTCAATTTTGGTTTTGTAGGTTGCTTTTTGGTGTTTTGCATGTCACAACTCACATACTTCCACTAATGTTGTATGTCTAACGCTGTCTTCAGACTATGTATGCCTTGCTGTTTTGCTGTAGCCTGAAACAGTGAAATTCTGGCCCACTGGAAGTTCAGCGTGAATTTGCTAATGATTTTAGTGGAGCCAGGACTTTGGCTTTGGTGGTGATGGCTTCTGTTTTTTCCAGAATGGATATGTCAAGTGCCACAGCATACATCTGTGTTTGTGGTTCTGTTAGCTTTGAAATACTTCTGCTGCATTGTATCTGTAATATGGTGGTATTTTGTTGTTGGTTTTTTTTTATTTGGTTTGTGGGTTTTGTTTTTTGTTTTTTTTTTTTTTTAAAAGGCCGGCTGTGAAGTTTGGTTTTTATTTTCATAAATATTATAGCAATATTGAAGTATTTCACTTGTGCTTGAGGGGAGGAGAAGGGTGTATTTCTAGAGTGTACGTTCAGTACAGTTTTGCTCATTTTAACTTTTGACACTAGCTTTACAATAATATGAGAGAGTCTTCTTTCTAAACCTGGACAGGCCAGTCTAAGTTTACAGGGGTGATAGAAAAGGAAAGCAAAGATAGGTGCCACCTGTGCCTCCCTTTAACATCTCCTGACGCAATCACAGGGGATCAAGTTTGTTTGGCCTGCTGTCGCTGTGGCTGTTGCCATCTGATAAAGAAGACAAAATTGCACACATATAGATTGGGCACCAGTCAGTGTGACTCATTACGTCTCCTCTGTATCCTAAATTCGACCTTTTCTCCACTTCATGTGGTTATACTTGAGAAAACTTTTGCAATTTATTGCTTTTATGCGTGGTTTTGGGTTTTTTTAAACTGAAATTTGGAGAGCTAAGTAACAAGTACGGTAGCAACAAACAAAAACAGTGATGATGCTTGGGAAAGGATTATACTTAAATTTGTGCTTCTCCACATTTTCTTGATTTTTAATACATTGGCATAATACACATCTCTCTAATAATCATCTTGGCACGAGATAAGACCAAACATGGTAGCCTTCAAGCAGCATGAGGTTTGTGATGAATGGTGACAAGCTCACCCCATTCAAGTGTGCTTTTGGGACTGGGAAAGGAGGACAGTTGGAAGGGGAAGATACATGGTTTTGTGGTAGCGAAGTTGCCTGTGGATGTCTCTTGCTCTTAATTCACATCAAGGGCAGTAGGTGAGTAGCTGCTCTACCCTGGAGCAGCGTTCTGGTTATTGGTCATGCTAAACAGTTGGGTTGCAGAACAGTAATAATAGGAGAGGTGTAGCAAAGAGCCTCTGCGTTGCCACAGTGGGAGATGCACTGCTAATTCAAGCAATTGCTGATGGCATTTGTAAGCATGTAAAGCTTTTAAACAATCGCGCACATTAGCTGAAAGCACCTAATGAATTCTGACCTCAAGTCGGTTCAGTAGGGCAAAATGCAAGCATGGCTTACTAAGGAAGCAAAAATTAGTCTGAAGCTCGGACTTTCCACATCTACACAAGTCTTGCACTAGTGAGTATGTATGGTTCTAATTATTTCTGGTTTTTGTCTTCCAAATCTCACAGGAGGCCCTGAGCCTGCAATGCCTGATGTAAGTAGTATGTACAAACTGCTAATTAGTTGTATAATCCTGGTCTTTTCAAGAAGCCCACTGCTTTCTATTCCTTTCTATACTGCTTTAAAATTGTGATCAAATCTGAGAGTACCAACTAACTTTTTCTAATGTGTAGTGGAATGGTTGCTTCCTGTTCCTTTAAAGAAAAGGCTAGTTTAGGTCCTTGTCGCTATAAAGCTGTAGTGCTTGTCGTGGCTTTTCTTTCTTCACTTCAAAAATAAACAAAATTTTTAAAAAATATAATGTGTTGATTACATGGAAGAAGATAATATGATTTCATTTTTGTGCTATGTTAGCTCCCAGTTCCATCCATTAGTGCTCCTAGTCGTCGGGTTTGGGATCAAGAGGAAGAACGAAAACGACAGGAAAAATGGCAAAAGGAGCAGGATCGTCTATTGCAGGTATAATTCCTTTTGATAATCATAGGCTGGTAATCCCTATTTCTTCCCTGAAAGGGAAGAAAAGGAACATGTGACTCCTGCAGCTCTTCTTACTGATGGCCTAAGAGGACTTCCAGATACGTTGGCTGGGCTGCACAGTTACACACTATAGTAATCATTCAGCAAAAACAGGACAATATATTAGTGATCTTCATGAAATCAAAGCCAGACTATGAGTATTCACTGCAGCCAGAAGTGGGCAGTCATCACAAGGCTGGTATGCTCTTACAGGCAACAGAATTTAAAGGATAAACAAAGACCTATGGGGCCATAGTCTTCACTTTTCGATGAGTTTTGTTCCCCCCCACCCCGCTTAAGAAAATTGTCTCTAGAATGAGTTTTACCTTCAATTAGCCATACTACCTTGTATTCAGAGTTGAAGAGAAGGCAGGCCAGTGCCATGGTTAGATGCCTGCTAGCATCCTGTCATTTAGCAATCAGCTAATTGGGTGGAATCAACCTGCTTCCCAGAACCTCTGTGAGTCAGGTAGCTGGACCTGCCAACACAAAACCACCTTAGAATCATAGAATCATAGAATCATTGAGGTTGGAAGAGACCCTTGGGATCATTGAGTCCAACCATCTACCCTACTCTACAAAGTCCTCCCCTACACCATGTCCCTCAGCACTGCATCTAAACGGCCCTTAAACACAGCCAGGGATGGGGACTCCACCCCCTCCCTGGGCAGCCTGTTCCAATCCCCGACCACTCTCTCTGTGAAGAATTCCTTCCTAATGTTCAATCTAAACCTACCCTGTTGGAGCTTGAAGCCGTTCCCTCTCGTTCTATTGTTAATTACCTGTGAGAAGAGACCAGCCCCAACCTCTCTACAGTGTCCTTTCAAGTAGTTGTAGAGAGTGATGAGGTCTCCCCTCAGCCTCCTCTTCCTCATACTGAACAGCCCCAGCTCCTTCAGCCGCTCTTCGTATGATTTGTCTTCTAGGCCCTTCACTAGTTTGTTGCCCTCCTCTGCACTCGCTCCAGCACCTCCAGATCTCTCTTGTATTGAGGTGCCCAAAACTGGACACAATACTCGAGGTGTGGCCTCACCAGTGCCAAGTACAGGGGCACAATCACCTTCCTACTTCTGCTGGTCACACTATTTTTGATACGAGCCAGAATGCTATTGGCTTTCTTGCCCCCCTGGGCACAGGCCGGCTCATATTCAGCCGTTTGTCAATTAGAACCCCCAGGTCTCTTTCCTCCAGGCAGCTCCAGCCACACTTCCCCCAGCCTGTAGCGCTGCAGGGGGTTGTTGTGGCCCAAGTGCAGGACCTGGCACTTGCCCTTGTTGAAACTCATGCCATTGATCTTGGCCCAGTGATCCAATGATCCATGATATTTATACATGTTTATGTTATACTGTAAACAAAAGTCATCTCTTTAACAAGCATCATCTGGCAATGTACTACAGTGTCAACAGAAGAAATATGAAAACTGGAAGGGAAATTAATTAAAATTATTTTTAACCAAGATATGACCCTGAAAATATAATACCATTTCACAGCCATTCTTACTCCCTCTGGTTTTGGTTTGTGGACTCCCCACCCCTAGAAAAAATCCAAACCAAACAACTTACCGCAAACAATGATTTCATTCATCTTTTTAGACATGAAATAAAGGAAAGATCTGACTTATATAATTCCTATAGTGCACTAAGTTCCTGTAATAGTTTCTTTGAAAACACATTTGAAAATATTGGACAGAGATATTCAACCCAAACAAATACCATTTTAAGTTTAAGGGGAGAAGAGATGCCAGTACTTGTAAACTTGTAAACTTGAGGTTCTTATAGATTCAGGCACCTTTCAGATAGAGGTGTGTGGAAAAAAAGTTCTGTGACTTTATTGGCCAACCTTACTTTCAGGTTTTGTAGAAAAAAGTTATTTTAAACCTGACTCATCTACCACAGTTAATTGATATTCATCAATAATTAAATAATAAGAAGATACTGCCTTATGTAAAGTTCTTATCCTGCACTAAAGATAAAAGTAGTCCCAAAATTCCTTATTTTTGTCGATCTTGATCCGTAAAGTAAGTAACATGATATGTCTGTTCTTTAACACAACTGTGGTTTTTTGAAACTTGTGGAGAAAAGTAGTTTTGGTTACTTTATTGACTTTTATACCAATTGGGTCTCCCTGTCATGTCATTCTATGGTTATGTCAGGTCACTCAAGTTCTGAACATTCTCTCTGTCTTCCTGCTAAATACAGCCCTTAATGATAAATGCTCTTAGGAAATGTTTTAATTTTGAGTTAACCATGATTTATACAACAATCCAAATTAGTTATTTTTCCTTCCCCCGTATTATTTTGTGCATTCTAAATACACATATGTCCTCTTCTGGTCACAACTATGACAGATTAAAAACCTCCTGCCACCTTCCTTTACCCCTCGGTACCAAATCCTCCTCCTGAAGGAGGATCCACAGTCTGGATTCTGCGAGCTGAGCTGCCCACATGATCCCTTCCTCATCCATTTCAATTAAAATTAGGTGGTTTAGCTCAGAGAGTGTAAACAGTGGCTCTGCGCTTGCCTGTCAAATTTGGATAAGAACAGGTGAGGAAGAAATCGCACAAACATTTCAACTGGGTCTCTTCTCCCAGGTCACAAGTCACAAAAGGAAATGGCCTCAAATTGCACCAGGGGAGGTTCAGATTGGATATTAGGAAAAATTTTTACACTGAAAGTGTTATTAAGCATTAGAGCAGGCTGACCAGGGAAGTGGTTGGGGCACCAGCCTTGGAGGTGTTTAAAATAACAGGTTGACATAGTGCTTAGAGACATGGTTTAGTGATGGTTTCTATCAGTGTTGGGTTGATGGCTGGACTAGGTGATCTTGAAGGTCCCTTCCAACCCCGGCAATTCTATGATTCTGTGAGTGACCAGTTCAGCCAGCCCAGCTGCAGGTATGGACGTGTGACAGCATTCTCAAGAGTCTGAGAACTTCCCAGAGTTTAAATCACAGATTAAATCACTCCTCATAGAAAACCCTTCAGACGTCCCTAAAAGCACCAGACACTGGTCGTACAAAAGAAAAGAAGTGCGAGATTCTGATCTCGTTTACATTCAGGCGTGTCCAAAAGCCTAAACATTTAAAATGGTACTTTACTGGATTACAATTAGCCAGATTCCACAGCACGGAATTCTGTACATGGATGGCTTCACGTATATTACAAATACACAGAAGGCAGTCAAAACACTTCTTCAAAAACCTCAAAATGGCTGAAAGGTTTTGCAACAGCTCGAAAAATCCCATTAACTCTACGATGTGAATAATCCTTGCTTATTTGAGTAGTCTCATGGAAAGCTAAGGGAGGGTTTCAAGGGCTAACGGCTGCGGAACAGAGCTGATAAATGTACGAGAGAACACAGCAACTTGAGAGCATATGTCATTTTCTATGGTGTAATTTAATATTCCAGAATTTATAATGCATGTCCTTAAATAAGTTAATAATGACAGAGCTTGAGTTAGTGCACGTGGTGCTCAATTCTTACAATAAAAGGCTTTAATCTGAAAATAAAATACATCAGGAAAATACTATGCCAGTAAATACTCATCTTGACAAACTTCCACCAGCACAACAGAAATAGGAAAATAATCAATGAACAGGATAAATTCACTGACAGAAAAGGAATATAATCCCCAATTATGGGATTTCTAAGCCTTCATTAAATCTTTAAATCTTAACTTGCATTAACTACGTTGCTGTGATTATACTTGAAACTGATCTCTCAGGAAACTCCATGTCCAGCCATTTGTTGAGTGCATTTTTTCTCCAAGACCAAACAAATATCTTTTCATGAGTAAGTAATAAGCATTTTATTCCATTTTAAGTTCCACAGATATAATTATAAATGGTATCCACAACTAAAAATCACTTCAGACTTTTTTTTCAGAATCACTCCATAAAGTAGAATCCAAAATCATTAATGTACAATAACCATGACGAAACTTCCATCCAGTAGACTCAAATACCAGGACTCCCACTGAAGGCTATCATACTCAAGATTTCATTTCTAGACTATGCATATTAAAAATAAATATGTTTAAAAAAAAATTAAAAGTTAGAAGGACAAATAGTGGTACTGAAGGGCATCTGAAGGCATTCTGTCACTCACACCATTTCTGTGGCCTTTGAGCCAGAAGTTGAGCACAGGAAAAGCCCCACTGTCACCTCTGAAGGCTGTTTAAACTCTGTTTCCCAGTTGCATCAATACTTAGTGGTGTTTTCAGGCCCTCAAAAATGCAAAGAGTAACATTATCACCATTCCTGAAAACCAGAATATGAAAGGGTTTCTCCTTGATTTAATTTTATTTTTTTTTAATGCCTAACCTATTAGCATTTGACATTATGGCAATTAGTTTGGACAGCTGATATTGTAGAGAATGTAGGGTACAGTCTAACACCTTCTCTTTATAAAGGCAAAAATCTGGGTTTAAATTGAATATGTCTGTATGAGATCACTTCATATTGGCAATTACCAACTTAAGGGAAGTTGCAATCTCTGGTCCTTGCCTGCAAAATTGCTCCTAAATAAACAGTGATGTCAACTATCATACAGAAAAAGGGATGAAATAGCTCATTTCAATATTTCTGTATAAAATGTTCTGCTCTTTCAAGCAAATTAAGGAGATAGTAGTGGCTTTTTGTCATCTTTCCTTTCCCCATGAACTGTTCTATACCCACTGATACCTAATTAAGCACTCTAATCATTGAAGTAGATGAGATGTGGGGAATTCTGGTTCTCCTTCTCATATCCCATCACCGCTGGACACCAAACCCAAACCACTGCATGTGACATGGAGTGTGTCTCAGTGCTCTTAGCCTCTCTTTCTTCTGAATTTAGGAAGTGGTGAAAAACATTGTAAAGCAACGCTTTGTTTCCAAATCTTTGTGCTTTAATTAGCATGTATAAAATAATTGTAATTTTACCTCCTCCCCCAACATAGTTTTT